TAACAACAACGTGAAATATAATACAGATTTTTATGGCACACCATTACCCCAATCTGGGGATCATAAACGAGGAGTCCAGTCCCAAGCAGGGTGGGAGTCTATTGCCGCTAGCTCCTAGTAACACGCTTCTCTGGAGCAGCCACTTCAATCCCCTTCCCGACAACCTCACCAACCACGAGTGCCGCCACCGCCTGCCCGGTAATGTCGGCAGTTCTCTCGCTAAGCAAAGGAAGACCATCAGGCATGATAGTATCACCTGTATCAGAGAGGTGTTCTACCCCATTTTGACCATGCTCCTCCAAGTCGTCGTGGTCATATGCAGCATCCCAATCGTGCTCAACGAGGTCTATTGCGAAATCGGGGTCAGCAAGAGCCCCTATGTGGCCCGAGGTCATCTCCACAACTTGGAGCCCCACGCGTTCGAGCCACTGGTCTATTGAAACTTCGTGGGTCGCATCGACAATTGGTGGGACTGCGGACCCCGCAACGGCGTCGGCTCCTGCTCCCAACGTGCCTAATAACGTATGAGTCCATCAGGGGTTCAGGGGAAGGAGAAAGACAGACCTGTTACAGCGCCAACCGTGACTGGAATAATATAATCCCGTTTGGTACGATCAGGAATCTGCAGCCCACGAAGCTTCAGATTCTTCCTGACAATACGATGATTATTCCACTTCAACATGAAGCGAGGAACGGAGTAAAATCCTGATATTAAGCTCACACCATGGGTAGGGAGAGCTGTAACAACTACCGCGACATTTCCGACAACCGCGACGTCACGCTGGCGGCGTGTAGAACGCGCAAGGTTTAAGACGGCATCGTCGTCCTTCTCTTCAACTTCGCGTTTGAATTTCGAGAAAGGATCCATGAAGTGGGGAATAGAGGTATACGTACTTTAGAGAGAAGATGTTCGGTGTAGACTAGGATGTGGGGGGCTATTACATTTATAATGTGGATCCATTCCGTTGACTGGTGGCAGGGAGCCGATCAGCTAACGTTGTTGGGGAATGAATCGACTCCACGATGCTGTATCTCCGTTGGAGCTAGCGAAGCAATCAGGTGAAGGAGCGCCTAAGCCCTAGTTGAACGGGAGTCAATCGTCAATAGAAGTTCCTGTTGAAGAATGGGCGCTTGGTCTAACATTTACATAGCCAACCATTCCACGGAGCCCATGATTGCAAATGATTCAGTGAACGAGAATATATTAATAGACTGTATCCTGATCAGGGAATGCGTAGAGCTCCACCAGGGATGCGTGACATACCCGAAGTGTGAGACCCTTGATCATCATCACTGCGCCGCTCCGGGGTCATGGACTGGTTTGAAGCGGGCAACGGCACCGTCATCAGGTCTGTGCCCCAACGTGTGGTGCGTGCACACATCCTGGATCGCTATACCACACGTCCTAAGCAGTGCAGTATCGGTGGTTATCTATCCATCCTGGTCAACATGCCGCTCATAAGCATAATTTTCACCCAGCTTGGTATGTCAAATAGTACTACCCGCACCATAGCCTCCTATGATCGCTTGATTTCATTCATCTATTCGCCCCTATTCCTCACCCACCCATTACCATTCTTCTTAACCATCATAGTACATAATGCGTGACCTTCGAACCCATAGTGACATCGATTGTAGCTATGTGTAGTTTTGCTACGGGGCCTACGGAGTTCGCAAAACTAATACTTGGCCGGCCAGGCCGACCTGTACACCTGTACACCTATCTTATGTAATCTAGTTAGCTTATAGTATTCATTACGGCGCTTGTGCGCCTTCACCTTTTCTCCTCCATACGCTGCAGAGCGAGCCCGTAGGGCTCGCTCCTTGGGTGTCTCATCTCTCTTCCTGCGAGTCCCGCCTACTCACACCTTGTATGTGCTCTCGTATTCTCGGTCTACATGCTTTAGTGAGTATCTTATTTATTATACACGGAAGTACGATCGGTTTTGGCCGCCCACCCAGCTCGGTGGCGCGGTCCCGGTGGCACCCTGGTTCGGCATTCCGCCTCCCCAGTTCCCCCATCCTACCAATCCTCCGGTCCCGGTCGTACTCGTACTCCCCTACTCATACTGTAGCCCGTCGCATCTGGCCCAAGGTCACGTATGAGTGCACTAAAAGATCGCACTGCGAGTTCTAATACAGATCTCATAAATTTTAACAAGGCTGTGTCTGCCCACACCACTGTTATAGCCGTACACAGGGCGGTTCAATCACCACATTTCAAAGCACATGAGGTGCGCTTAGTTGTTCTAGAAACTAAACACTTCAGTTGGGAAGGGTGGGAACTATGTCTTGAGGTATGCGTTGGGAATTGTATCAAGGAGGCTATTTCTCAGAAATGTTTGCCCATTGGACTGATCAATGTCTGCACTGTGAGTAATTTATTAAGCCAAACAACCTTTGATGGTATCTGACCTAAACAGCCAGCTGATCATAATGGGAGCCCTATGACTGTAGTAGGGTTCCAAGACTTTCTTCTCTAGTGCATAGAGAAACATGCCCAGCACGTTGCCTCAGCTAGACTTGCAAAGGCTCACTTGGTGAAGAGTGGGATCGAAGCTACATTGGCAGCAGCATGGAAGGAGATACCTCTTGGGTTTGATTCTTGATTCATCAGGGGGTCAGCTGTGTGAGGCTGTAAAGCTGTAACATAGTTAGTAACAAACAAATACTACCTAACTTAATTGAACAGAAGTGAATTGAGAGCCATAGACTTGAATAAAAAATCATATGTTGGCTGGAATCTGGTTTTGCCGGATGTGGCAGCATTGCCGAAACACCTGGAGGCAACAGTTAGGTAAAAGTAAAGTTATACACTTGCAAGAGCGCATATTAGGAAACATTCCCTATCATATATCAATATTCTAGTCAAAGCAAGATTAGGATTCAAGTTTAAGGATTAGAAAATACTGTTGTGAAGCGTAAGGGACGTGTCCATATCCAGAGCACATCCTGCCAAACTTGTAGAGCTCTACAATGGTCTCACCAATGCAACACGCACATACATTCCATGTTACTGTATTGCATACCATGAGCAATGGTATAGTTCCACTTGATATCGTTAGGTCATTGGAATTCAGTCCGAGAGGTGTGGCGCCAGCAGAATCACCAAATCGTTCTACTTGCACGATACAAAGCTCAATTCGAAGGGGAGATTGACGTACCAATGGCTGTAAAAAAAGCGAAAAAGGAAACAGGCCTGCACAAGGACCCTATGGGTCCATAACGCCTAGACCTAGTAAAGTCTCAATCGATATGCCCAAAAGAACAACTTGAAAATGGCGGATCAGGGTCGATTCGAGCGGCCAATACCTGGAAAGCTGTCGAACCTCCAAGAGATATTTCAGCCCGAAAACCAGGAGTTTTGAAAACTACTCGATTGGGTCCTACTTGCTTTATACTCGGATAATATATCAAAGTGCTGGTATCAAACACCCGATTGAGAGCCTACATAAGAGCTACATTACATATCCTTCTAGGGTATAGTGCACCATTACACCAATCTATATAGAGGAAGAGCAAACGAAACCGAACGACAGAATCTAAACCACACGGTAGAAGAGAATAGGGCTGTTACCGCCCGTGTTTGGCGGCATGTCTCCTCGGAGCAGCCACTTCAATCCCCTTCCCGACGGCCTCACCAATCACCACCGCTGCCAACGTCTGCCCGGCAACATCGGCAGACCTATCGCTAAGCAAAGGCGGACCACCAGGCATGATGGTATCGCCGGTATTAAAGAAGTGCTCCACTCCATTCTGAGCATGCCCCTCCAAGCCATTGAGGTCATATGCAGTACCCCAGTTGTGCTCGACAAGGCCCTCTGCAAAACCGGGATCGGCTAGGACCTGCATGTGATTTGTGGTTGTCTCTACGGCTTCATCCCCAACTCGGTCGAGCCACTGATCTATCGGAATTTCATGGGTCGCATCGGCTATGGGCGGGACTGCACCACCCGCGAACCCCGCGACTGCGTCGGCGCCTGCTCCCAGCGCGCCTGGAAACATATGAGCCAACCAGAAACCCGAGGAAAGAGAAAGACTCACATGTTACGACGCCAACCGTGGCTGGAATGATATAATCCCGCTTGGTACGATCGGGGATCTGCAGCCCGCGACGATTTAGATCCTGCTTGACGATGCGATGCTCCTTCCGGGTCTGCAAGTAACGAGGAACCGTATAAAAGGCTGCAAAGAGGCTCACCCCGCCGGTGGGGAGGGCTGAAGCAGCGACCACCACGTTTCCGACGGCAGCAATGTCACGCTTGAGACGGGTAGAGCGCGAGAGCTTGAGAACGGCCTTGTCGTCCTTTTCTTGGACTTTGCGCCTGAATTTCGAGAAGAGACCCATGTGGAACTATGTAATCGAGGATAAGAGTGCGTGTGTTGTGAATAGCGGAAGATGGTAGAGCTGGGACGAAAGGGTGAGCCTTTATACAGTGCTGTACGTCCGGCCCATTAGCCGTATATAGAAATTCGATTGGTGGCCAGGAATGAATCGAACGTGCGCAACTAGACTTCTGTCGCAGCAGTCGGGTCGGGACATATCGGCCAGAGATATATGAGAAACACTGGTTCGTAAATCTTGACATCCAAAAATGGGTGATTGGTGCGCGAACCCCAAGATCGACATAGCCACGCACCCCGAAATTGCAAACGACTCGGTGATCAAGGGATCCCTATCAAGAGATATGAACTGCCAAGCGTCTGCGGCCCCGCTGCGGGCTTACGCATCTTGTGTGGCCGAACAGGTCGGGCTTTTCTGTTGCCTATCGAGAGCGACCTTGCGGTGCTTTATCGTTCTGATCGAATTCAAAGGGAGAACGGGGCGTGGTGCCAGCGGGATGACTTGGCTATCCCATCCGTACGCGTAAGGACCCGAGACGAATTGAAATTGTCGATAGCCGATAACGAGCCCAAAAATACAAAAAATCTTGTCGTATAATACCACCATTTTCGTGAATATAGCCTCAAAACGAAATTACATAGATACATAAAAGAAATGGACGAGGGTGGATTCGAACCACCGACCGACATTGCTGCATCAAAAGCGAACATAGTGTGTGACCTTTTCACTACTCGCCCAAGTTCCATTTGCGCACAAGTAAAATATACGCGTACATTTACCAGCAATGCTGAACATCGAAAAGAGAATGGGCGAGGGTGGGTTCGAACCACCGACCGGCATTGTTGCAGCAAAAGCGACATTGTGTGTGACCTTTTCACTACTCGCCCAAGTTTCACTAACGCATAAATACAATACATGCGTTTGATTACCCGCAAAAATATATACGAAAAAATGAAAAGAGAGCAGACGAGGGTGGGTTCGAACCACCGAACCAATAATTCGATTTGGGTGACCTGTTCACTACTCGCCCAGTTTTCACCAAGTCAATAACATGACATCGCCTTGTACCAAATAACACAACGTTGGCTCGTGCAGACCGTGCTCCACACTTCAAAACAACTGGACGAGGGTGGATTCGAACCACCTGGACTTGAACCAATTCACAACAAGGTTGCTTAACCAGTGAGTGACCAATTCACTACTCGCCCGGTTTTTCTTCTGGCAAATGAGCAAGCGCTCACTCGGGGTCCTCAGTCCATATATAATCGAAGAGTATTGCGGTGGTTGGAAGTGTAGTGTAGAACAATTGAGCTGGGGGATTTGTCGCTCCTTTGATAAACACGTTCTACGAAGAAAGCACGAGGGTCGAGTTAAACACTCACTGAATGCTTGGAAAGCTAGCGTATTTGACAGTATTTGCTTGATGAACAACCGCACTTGATAGTTAATCATTCTTTTTTTAATCTCGTTTAATTAAAAAAAGGAGTGGACGAGGGTCGATTCGAACGACCAACGAAATTGCTGGTAAAGCTGTGACGTTCTCGTCAAGTGCCGTTTCACTACTCGCCCAGTTTTCATTCATGCATAATTACCTTATCCTTGTTCCAACACAAACTTTGCATATATCACTTTTAATAATAGCATATATGCGTCATTAAA